AACAAACACTATGGAAGTCAAAGTGGTCTAATCATCATTCTTAAAAATATCTTCTTTTGTCTTCATAAATTAACACAGGTTTGGAAATATTTGAGAGTGAGTAGGCTACATGACAAAATTTTCATTTCTGTCTGTGTGAAATATCCCTTTAAGATAGTGTAGTAGTAGATATTCATCTACATCTATAAAAAAGCTGTTGTTTACATGCGAGCTGATAACAGATTGTATCACCGGTGAATTATTTATTGCTGATGAATTAAGTCAGAAATTCAAGAAAAATGACCATCCAAAAAAGACTGAAACTGAACAGCAAAATGCAAGCTTGCATAAACGCTGCAGTGGCTGTCATTGTACGGTGTTGTTGACATTGAAACACAGGGCTTAGGCTGTCAAATATTGCTGGATGTTCAAGTGAAGCAAACACCATCACATTCTATTAAATAAACCCATAATGCAGACGATCATATCATATACTCACTTCTTGTTTTCTTGTTAGTCTTCTCAATCTGGAATTCATATCGCACTGGTGAAGGAAGAGAAGAGCTCGTCTGTGTAAACTGTATAACGTTACTTGAGTTATAAGTTAGCGCTTCCTTAAAGAAAATCACAGATGCCGGAGAAAGCGACTCCTCTGGACTGTTGACAACATGTCCATCGATGTCCTTCATGTGGGGTTTGAGAAATTCATTAGATGACACTAAAGTTTCGGAAACTTCAGCGCTATGCTTCTCCGATGCTCCTGAGCTCTGGTCCGCCATCTTCAGTTCAAAATTCATGTGACCATGCGTCATCCCATTCCGCTATCGTGTGAAGCAAACTCGTGTTTATCCGAGACTGGTTTAGGATAGTTATATATTACGACTCGGCATCTTTTAGCCGTATTGTTTCTTAATTTTCAGCCAAACAAAAAAAGAAATAAAAAATATTGGTCATATGTCATGACGTAGAAGATCAGCTGGCCGAGAGCATTAAAGGAACAGCAGCAGCCAGCATCAGTACACTACCTCAATATAGCGTGACGATAAATACCTTCACAACCACTTCACATCAGTGTACTGTAGCCAGGCCTACGAGCATGTGCGCAATGCTTGGTGGTAATTGGTTACATCATGTAATCTGGATCCAAAAATACTTTGAAATATTTTAAAATAGGCTACTCATAATTAGACTAGTTAGATTACTTTTTTATTTATTCTATGTAATCCTCACAATGTTACATCATTCATAATAGCCCACATTTATTCTCCCTACTACATCTTTTTTTTTTTTTTTTTTTCATTCTTTCCTTGGCTATTAAAAAATGCTTGGCCATAAGACGACGTTCATATTCCATTCCATGTTTGTGGAATTGCACACAGACCAGCCACTAAAAGCTGAGACCCACGCATCACCGGTTTTACAAAAATCATTTCACTTTTAAGAAAAGTGTTCTCAACATTGCAACATATAATCAACTCCTGACAAACACATTAATTGATATTAGTGGATTATCATTCGAGTTCAGGTAGCCTACAGTTTTTGGAAGTATTATGTCTTTTCACACATTAAAATGTATAGCCTACAAATTCACATCATTTAATATTTGCATGCAATGCAGGGATTCACTTTTCTGTCTGAACCATTTTTGACCTAATATAGGCCTATTTACTTGAAGTAGCCTACACCTTGATATTGAGTTGTTGTCAATAATAAAATTAAGTCAATAATCATAATAATAACAATAACTAATAATAAAATTAAGTTCACTGTTGTCTGAGTTAATGTTAATGGTTTCAGTTAATGGTCATATGACATGCAAATAAATAGATTATATATTACAAGGTTACAAGGACAAACTACAAAATAGACCTGAGTAAATGCACCACTAGAGAGCGCCATCAGCATTGTTTTGGTTACTAATCCTGCCAGGTTTGTTAGCTAAAGTCTTCTAGCCCAACTTCTAAATAGATCTCAATATCTTTCGTGTAATAAAATGGACATACGGCTTTGTTTGTTATGAGGCTATGCATATATTTTTTAAGAAATTCATTGCCGGTATATACATTTGCCCATGTAGTAAAGAAAAAATAGAACAAATGAATGAAAAAATAATATTTTGATTATTATATTTTCTCCCTGTTTGTTCATTTGGGTTTTTTTATTTGTCTCCATAATCTTTGGATAATGCAGTCCATGCTTAAACTTCTGCCTGTTTGTCAGTTTAGAGAACATTTAAGATCTTTGATGCTTTAAAGATGCTTTTTGGGGGGTTGCCATTGCAGTTATTCCTTCAACCATTTCACAAGATGTAAACAACACTGGCCCAGAAGCACTTCCTGTCTCATTTTTTAACACTACATGAAGAGTTCAGATGCAAAAGCCTCTAAGTGCCATTTGAAATTTTCTTCTAGAATGATCATTTTTATCAAGCTTGCATATTTCAGTTCAGCAATTTCACTTAAATTGCAATGAGGATTAATTGTCATTTAAGTGAAATTACTGAACTTGAATATATAAGCTTGATAAAAATGATCATTTTAGAAGAAAATTTCAAATGGCATTTAGAGGCTTTTGCATCTGAACTCTTCACATAAAAGCTGGGATAAAATACAACCAACAGAACATTTAAAACTGAATCAAAAAGTTAAACAAACATCTTTAAAATGTTTTCTTTACATGTGAAATAAAGAAAACAGTTACAAACTGAAACAGGAAGTGTTTCTGGACCAGTCTTGTTTACATCTTGTGAAATGGTCTATATTAATTTTAGAGACCTTCAGATTCAGTATTACATGGCCTAAGTTTAAAGGGTACATATCATGCTTTTAATCATTCATTTTTACATATAAATCATACCGTTGTGGTCTATATAAAACATAACTGCAATGCTTGAATCTGAATTCCTCATTATTATAGCTCCACATGCCCCTTTTCTACCCCTTTTCTGATCTTTGAGCGACCCGTTTCAATAAAAGGAGATGCGTCATACCCCGCCCGCTCTCCAGGTCGATGAGTTCACGGTCGGTTCAACTCCCCACGTTCGGCCATTATTGTAGTTTGATTAGAGATATACGATTATATACGATACCTTCAAAGAACATTTTTATTCACACTTTAATAAAATGTCAACAACAGCTAGAAGACTTGTCCTTCAAGCCTTACATATTCGAGCCAGAGCGAGCGAGTTGATAAAGACTATGACGAACCTGCAGAAGTTAACTGTTTTGTGTTATTAGTGAAAGTCGACCATTTCTCTTGTTAAAACAAGCACACTGACAAGATAAACGACTACGGTCTAATCTTACCACACACAAAAAAAAAATCTGTATTGACAATATGATACGTTTAGAAAAGCATCAGAAAACAACGCAGCTAAATGACCATTGATGAAACTCAAGAACAATAATACTGCAGACGTGTACTTTACTTCAAAACAAAAACAAAGAAAGACAAAGGTACTGCTAAACCATGACCACCATGTGTTTTAAGAAAGTAAAGTACTTTATTTTTATTAACGATATTTACAGCTTATCGAAATGCTCTGTTCGTCGTCTACAAAGATTTTTTCCAAAGGAATTTACCTCTCATTCAGACGAAGTCAATCGGCAAACCCTTCTTTATACTGGCGGAGGTTGTTGAAGTGGGAATCCTTGAAGTGCTTCAGGTCACTACATGATCCAACAATCGAACATTTTGAACATTAGCTCGGACTACAAAATCGGAGTGAGAAAAAATAATGGCGGATTGTTCGAAGTTTTGGACCGCTAGTCAATGTCCTTATTTGGCAGTTCCGCTAAAAAAATACGGTAACGCACTTGCTCAAAAAAACGTCATAGAAAACAGAAAAATCTGAACAGGTTGAAAAATATGACCAAAACAGAATATAAAGATATAAACGAAGTACCTGAAGAGAATAATTTCATCTTTTCTGTATAACACTCCAAATGTACAACAAAATGCATTTAAGGGCTAAAAAAGTGGATTTGGCATGATATGTCCCCTTTAAATGGCTTCAGAATATTCAAAACTGCTACTCATGTCCTCACCCTTTACCTCTCCACGTGAATACATTGCCCTCACATGAAGTTGCACTAATGGCTCCCCATTCATGGTAGCCTATAGAATTTGTTTTAAAATTCTCATACAAAGAATTGAATTGGACAACACCATACCTTTGTGGTTGTTTTCTGCGTATTAACACTCTTTCGCTTCCTCAGTCTTATAAACTTCAAGGATTAGTTTACCCAAAAATGAAAATTCGGTCATTAATTCATAATTAATTATATTACTTATGTGTTAATTATGTAATTAACTCACTCTCATGCAGTTCCACATCTGACCTTAATTCATCTTCAGAACACAAATTAAAATTTGGGATGAAATCCGAGGACTTTTTGAAATTGGTAATAATATTGCAGTCTCAGAAAGCTGAAGATGAATGAAGGTCTTTCGGATTTGGGATAAAAAACACGTGGGTGAGTTGGGTGAACTATCCCTTTAAGCCCTTACACTGCAGTTGTGCATTTCCCTTATATGTTAAATTAGATTTTTTCCTGCATTTCCTCATGTTTTTTCTCCCCTTGTCTTTGATTCCTGGTTATGTTTGTTGGCTTGTTTATAGTTCAATGACACTGCCTGATGGCGTTATTTCAGAAGAGCTCAGACCAATGCAAGTTCAGTTCAGTTTTCAGCCTCTCAATGACCTTGGCACAGGGAGGACTGAGCTGAATTTGTTCTTATCTTCACCATTAAGTCAAAAACAGAAACGAAAACCAGGAGTCCACAAAGATATCAGAAGCACAACTAGATTGTGACCTTGTGAGATGCAGGACATCTTTGATTTCCTGAAATCTCACATTTCTGGGATTTGGGGGTGTTTTTTTTTTCCTTTTTTTTTTCCTTTTTTTTTTCTTTACAATTTGTTTCGCATTGATCAGATTTTGTTTTGCTTTCATCATTACAAAATACGTGACCAAACATATGCTTTAGTTCAAGTTTTTGTCGTTCATTTGAGGGCTGTGAACATTAATGTTTGACTAGTACGAGGAAGACCTTGCTAATTCAACACACACTAACAAATAGAATGATTAAAAAAAAGGAAAAATTCCTTAAACAAGAGATAAAAATTAATAATAATAATAATAGTTGAGTCTTCAGAGACTCAAAAAATCAGAAACCACAGACTTTCAAATGTTAAAACAAGGGACTATTTGTCCAGGCAAATTTATCCAAATGTTGTGTTGTTGAGAGCATTTCATTGGAAGATTGGAAAATGAAAGTAAGTCTGTGCTTTACAAGGGAAAATCCATACAAGAAATAGACATTTCTCTGCAGCTGGATCATGAATCAGGTTGTTCTCACACTGCTGTGCGCACTGCTGTTTGGAGTGAGTCTTACACACTCTGCGGGTAAGCTGATTTCTGCATTTTATTCCACTGGCATCACATACACACAGATCAATTAAAGCCTTTTACTTTACCCTTTAACCCTTTATATTGTTAACAAGTGTAAAAATACTTATTTATAATAAAAATGCATTTAGAGTTTTCAATTATCTTTGATAATTAAATATCAATATTAATAATTTATTAATCTTTTTTTTTTTTTAAGCTAATGATTGTTCCAAAATCCAAATTTCAGTTTGAGGTCAATCTGACACACAGTTAAAACCCAAATTATTAATATATTAAAATATTAAAAATTTAAAAGTTCAGGAGTTCGGGTTTCATTATTGAAAGTATGACCATGAATCAAAGTATGCCATTTCTAAGCATTAAATGTAGGCTAATGGATGATCTACTGTCTGTCCTGATTGAAAAACTAAAAACCCTGCAGTGTGATAAGTTTATCAGTCATTATACAAAAATATTTAGCAAAATGCAGTGATTTTGCAATCAGAATAAGTATTGAGGCAATGGAAATAAAGAATAAGCATATATATATATTTTGATGTTATTGATGAAAGAAAGTTATTGTAAAACGTTTTTGTCAAGCATGGGCTAATGAACACACTGACGCAGAAGACAATTGTTCTTGAAAATCAACTTCATGCCAAAACACACACACGCACGCACACACATTTATTAGGATACCATTACTTAGCCACTGTTGTTAAATTTAGGACATGGAGCGGGGCGTTCGCCGCGATGTTTATGCAGAGGAAGACTGCTGAAATCAGTGAATCCTGGAATCATTCATGTAGTAGAATTGTTCCCACCAAGTGCCTCCTGCTCAAAGACCGAGATTATGTAAGTGTGCTTTGACTCCTGTAATGTTTAAATCAATATTTCTCCTAGATTCTCTTTTGCAATAATTAATGAACATTACAATGCATGTCCTCTAAAATGATTTGTTCCTGATATTTTCTCCTGCTGCTTAAAGACTGACTCTCACTCGAAAAGGAAAAGGGAAAGGGAAAGGGAAGGAAGAGAGATTGAAGGTGTGTTTGCATCCGTATAAGAAGCAAGGAAGGAGATTAGTGGAGGGCAACGGGTAAGATATACACTACTGTTATGCTACCACTTTCTGAATGTATAACAGCCAAGTATAATTATGTTTTGTATTATGTCCTAGCATTAAATTATGTGTCATTGTGCCATCATTCCTAGGATACAAAACAAAAAGCAAAAGAACGGAGGAAGAAAGGGGAAGAATTAGAAGTCTGATGACAAGGATGACTTGTGGAATTATTTTTCTTTCTGTTTTGTGATTTACTGTTATGACGTGGAAGGATGATGAACCCAGCACAGACAGTGTTCAATGAACTCAGGGTTTATTAGGACAAAAAGGAAAACAAAGCCCACGAGGGGGCAAAACAAGACTGGGTAACAAACACTAGACTAAAACTGAGGTCAAGACAGGAACAATACTAAGACACGAACAGACTCTGGATAACAGTTAACTCAAGGGATTACTCACTGCAAACTTCACAAAACAACAAACAGATCTCACGGCAGGTTTCACAGCAGGTTTCAAACAATGTTTCACAATGAACCGACACAGGACAGCAAACACAAGGGGATTATAAAGGGGAACACTAATGACCAGGACAGGTGAAACTGACTAGACAATAATCACAAGACTAGGATAACAAGGGGGCGGGGTAAGTTAACGAGACAACACAAGCACATGGCCCAAACAGGCCATGCGCTTGCACACAAAACATGATTCTGTCATGATCCTGCCTCACGACTAGAGAAAATCAAAGACAAGAAGGCAGAATCATGACAGAACCCCCACCTTAAGGAGCGGCTTCCAGACGCTCCTCAAGGGGACATTAAACACGGGACATGACAGACTGTGACAAAGATACAAACCAACAGTACATAGCAAAAACTAATAAAGGCATACAAAAATACACAACGACAGGGTTGGGGTGAAACATTAAAAACAACATACAAGGCAGAGGAGGAGGAGGAAACACAGAGTCTTTGAGCGACTGTCCAGGGTGGGTGGGCGGGACAGGGGTCCTGGGACCACAGGGAGTGGACTTAGGATGAGAGGACCGAGCGGGCTTGGGAGGAGTGGTGTGGGACAAGGGAAAAACAGTCCGGGGTTGAGCCATGACAGGGGAGACAGGGGAAACAAACGAAAGTCCAGGGACCGTGGGGACAGGGACAAATGGGGAAACAGTCCGGGGCCGGGGTTGAGCGCAGACAGGACTGACCGGGGAAACACACGAGGTCTTGGGAACAGTGGAAGTCACAACAGGGATAGCAACTGGGGGTACAGCGAACGATGGACACGAAGCTGGACTCATGACGGGGGGTGTGGTAGGAGATCGCAGAGGGAAAACTGGGACAGAGCTCACCAAAGGTGACTCTGATCCGACGATCAACCTCTCCAACTTGGGAGTGGTGTTCTCCGCTGCAGGTTCAGGGACAGCGCCTACAGACATAGGTTCAGGGACAGCACTTACAGACACAGGTTCAGGAACAGCGCTTACAGACACAGGTTCAGGGACAGCGATTACAGACACAGGTTCAGGGACAGCGCTTACAGCAGCGGGTTCAGGGACAGGGCTTACAGACACAGGTTCAGGGACAGCGCTTACAGACACAGTGGGCTCGGGACAAGACAGGACAGGCACTTCGAGGATCTTGATCAGACTGGACAAATAGTCAGACAGGGTCTTGGCAGCCAGAGAGATGGGCATCTCCTGACGAGCAGAAACCGACTGCAGAATCTCTCTTGCGGCTAGATCGGCCGCAACTCTCTCCGCAGCGGGCTCTGGGACGGCGCCTGCTGGAGCGGGCTCTGGGACGGCGCCTGCTGGAGCGGGCTCTGGGACGGCGCCTGCTGGAGCGGGCTCTGGGACGGCGCCTGCTGGAGCGGGCTCTGGGACGGCGCCTGCTGGAGCGGGCTCTGGGACGGCGCCTGCTGGAGCGGGCTCTGGACGGCGCCTGCTGGAGCGGGCTCTGGGACGGCGCCTGCTGGAGCGGGCTCTGGGACGGCGCCTGCTGGAGCGGGCTCTGGACGGCGCCTGCTGGAGCGGGCTCTGGGACGGCGCCTGCTGGAGCGGGCTCTGGGACGGCGCCTGCTGGAGCGGGCTCTGGGAGAGACAGAGACAGAGGACCAGAGGCTCCCTTCTTCCTCTTCTTCTTCCTGGGTCGTGGAGCAGAGGACATAGCCAGGCTTGTGACCGGTTGGGGAAGCACGACAGGAAGTGTGGTCTCAGTTGAAGAGGACTCCGAAGTAGACTCCCACGACAGCCGTCTCTCTCGCTTGCCACGGAGACTTGCGGGTGCAGCTGATGCGTCGGGAGCCGAAGTGGAGTGAGCCTGGTTCCCCTGCGTAACCACGGCTAAAATGTGACCCTCCGGGATCACTGGCAGCCTGGCAGGTGGTGACAAGGTGGTGGAAGCCGGCGGATCCTCCTGGGAGAAATGATCCCAGAGTCGGGCCCAATTCTTCAGGATCCACTCACCCTCGGGTGGGACAGGACCGTTGATTCTCTCTCCGTCTGTGGGAGCTGACAACCACCACTGTTCCGGCTGTGGCCGGAACTGGGAGAACGAACTGTCTGCTGGGTTCTTTGGTGGTCGGTTCATTCTGTTATGACGTGGAAGGATGATGAACCCAGCACAGACAGTGTTCAATGAACTCAGGGTTTATTAGGACAAAAAGGAAAACAAAGCCCACGAGGGGGCAAAACAAGACTGGGTAACAAACACTAGACTAAAACTGAGGTCAAGACAGGAACAATACTAAGACACGAACAGACTCTGGATAACAGTTAACTCAAGGGATTACTCACTGCAAACTTCACAAAACAACAAACAGATCTCACGGCAGGTTTCACAGCAGGTTTCAAACAATGTTTCACAATGAACCGACACAGGACAGCAAACACAAGGGGATTATAAAGGGGAACACTAATGACCAGGACAGGTGAAACTGACTAGACAATAATCACAAGACTAGGATAACAAGGGGGCGGGGTAAGTTAACGAGACAACACAAGCACATGGCCCAAACAGGCCATGCGCTTGCACACAAAACATGATTCTGTCATGATCCTGCCTCACGACTAGAGAAAATCAAAGACAAGAAGGCAGAATCATGACAATTTACAATATTTCTGTGATGAAACTATAAAGATACAGGCTAATTGTGATTGATGGCAGTAAATGTTTTGATCTCTAAGAAATGATGACCACCAACTCTGTTTTGAATAAAGTATTGGATAGCTTGTGTCCAAAATTATTATACTCTATTCACTTACTTTTATTCATACATTTTACACAAACCTTTCTGATCCAGAGGTGTGATATAACCATGAAATAATTCCAATGTGTGTGATATAACCATGAAATAAAAACAATTCTAATGCTAATTTGATCTTATGTTTAAGAGTATTACTATGATACAATAAATATCACAGTGGACTTTGACTGTTTAGTCTCTCGGTAACTATATGAAATATTTGTCTACTCTAAAGTATACAGTGTTTTGGAGTCTACTCTATCGCTCAATACAGATTACAATTAACTTACAATATTAATTTTGTCATGCTTGTGATAATGAATCACATTATGAAAAATAAAGAATTTGTGAAATGAACACGTTGACTGAGCCTGGTTTCTCACAAGGCTTTTTTCTCTCTCTCTATTTCAGTCACTTATTAGAGTTTGGGTTCCTTGCCTTTGGTTTGCATACTCTGGGACACTTATAAACAGCAACATTACTGATTTAGCAATGGCACAATCGGATGAGAACAAAACTTGAACTGATTTGGTCTACTGTAGAGCTGCTTATAGCTGAATTGAACTTGTTTCATAATTAATGAATTTACATTGTGAACTGAACTGAATTGAGCTGAAAATGACCATTATCTTGCTGCTTTACAGCATAATTTGGATTTGTCTGTTCAAGTTTTCATTATTAATTCTGTTACTTTTCTGTTTATTATTGCGAAGCTGCTTTGAAACCATTTCTGTTGTATAAAGCACTTTAAAAATTAATGTGGCTTGACTGCTGAATAATGTTCATGAATAATATTCAATGAAGCCTCTGCAGAACAGACTTCAGAAAATCGTGTCCTGCTGTACACACACACACACACACACACACACACACACACACATACAAAGACACTGAGTCATTTTAGACTGGGGAGGAAGTTGTAATGAATGAAGACTAACCAGATGACGTAGTTAATATATAAATAAAATAATGTTAAACAATTATTAAACAATTTATAATTTACAATATTTATCAGATGTGAAGACAGTGATTTACACTTAACACAGAAGCAAACAAATATCCCACTTATTATAATAAGAGAAACAAAGTCAAATTGTGAAGACAAAGCAATAATGCACAATATGAATTTATCAAAATGTTTATCACAAAACTTTTACTTCCTTTACTGTTGTATATTGTGATATAAATAATATTGTATAGCCTATTTGTGAAATATGTAATCGTGATGACACAACACTTAAAACAATTTTATAAAACAATGAAAACATTAAATTCAGATATCATACACTTTTGTTAATTTGCTAAAAACTGGGTAAGAAATGGGAAGAGTAACTGGAACTCGCTCTAAAGCATCAAATAGAGAAATCCCAGGATGTCTAAGAATAATATCAAAATGCAGAAATTCTGCTCATTTACTCACATTTGTTCAGCTAAGTGGTTCAATGTGAAGACCATCAAGAGATTGAACAATGAAGACTGTGGCCGCTCTACTTGTTTTTATCAGTTTGGCTTTTGTTGCTATCGAAGGTAATATTATTTTTGCTTGTTTTAATATTTTTCTAACTCAACAATATCTGTAGCTTTGTTGTTTCAGTCTAATCATTTTCATCATTTATTTCTATCAACCTCTATAGGGCAGCGTGCGCCTGGAATCCAAAGATGTTTATGTCGGGGTCCTGGGGTAAAGATAGTGAATCCAAAGCTGATAGAAAAAGTGGAAATTCACCCTGCTAGTCCATCTTGGGGACATCTGGAAGTTGTGTAAGTGTGATTATGTATCTATCTATAGATGAATCATCTTATGAGATATACATTGGGTAATTTTGGTTACACTTTATTTTAAGATAACATTGTTACAGTGTAATTGTACAAAAAAAATACTGAGTAATGTAGGGCTGAGGAAATAATGGGCAGAACTGTTTACTGCCCTAGTACTTCAGAAATCCTTTTAAAGGTACATGTGAATTAAATGTGGCACAATGGCCTTCATCATCACAGTATGCTAATGCCTATCTAGTGCAAGGGATTTCATCAATATGCTGATTGAGGACTGTTGGGACACTCAAGGCACAGGATAGTTCTGTCGGGAGAGACAGTCATTTGCACCTCAATGACACGTCTGTAACATTTGCTTCACGCAGGACATGCTTTTAGCTACATGCTTTATTTACTACTGTGTTCTAACTGTCATCATGTTTGGTCTCATCTGACAGCTTATAAACTGAAATGAATGGTGGTGAACCTAAGAGATAGATTGTACATTAGGATACTTGAATAGCCTATAGGTACCATTGGTTAAACATGCATTGAGGAGAATGTTAATGTTCTTCTCCCCGTCTTGATCATCACCCGTTTGCCTCATCTTTTGGTTAGTCGGTCGGTTTCGGTGTTGATATTCCACTCATGTTTAACAATGCTTTGTTCAGAAGGAAAGGTAACTGTTGATCTTGAAGAAACCCCGCCATTCCTGCACACCAGTGCGTAACCTCAAACTATGAGAGAGGCTTTTACGGCCTCTTCTGCACAACAGCGCATTATTTGTTACGTCTAAGTTTCCACACAAATGTCTATACAAATACATTGCAGATTTGCTCACTAAATATAAATCTAACAGATCACTCAGATCATTAGGATCACATCAACTAAATACCAAGGGTTCAAAAATAACGACTTTATTTGACTATTCCTTTTTTTCCTTGTAGGTCTGAGACGAGAGTTTAAGAGATTTCCACGACGCATGCGCGAGAATTGAACTGAAGTAGTTGAGGGAGATCGCAATTCTCGCGCATGCGTCGTGGAAATCTCTTGAACTCTCGTTTCAGGCCTACAAGGAAGAAATGGAGTCGTCAAATAAAGTTGTTATTTTTGTTTGTTTTTTCACACAAAAAGTATTCTCGTCGCTATATAAACTTAGTCTTGAGCCACTGTTGTAACATGGAACATGGTATCCTCTCATGTTCTCCAAGTTACCTGTGTTAACATAGGACAAGCAGAATTCTCCATCAGTTGGAAAGTCAATGAACTGCCATTCAGTAGTGGCCAATAGTGTTGAATGTTATACTGATATCTTCACCCTTTATCCAAATATAGTGTATATCCAAAGATTTTGTAAGCTCATTGAGAAGTTGTGCTTTGATTCAACTGTTATATTTGTGATGATGCAATGAATGACCAAATCATTCAAAATAAATTATGAACACATGCACAAAAACATAAACCAGAGAAAGATTAATAACTGATTACCTTGTCAACCTTTTCTTTTTCCTGTGAGCTTATTAGTTTTTCTAAAAATCTTTAGCTGTAGTTTTCCTTTTTTTGCCAAATAAGTTTGTCAGATAAATGGGGGCAAAATGTCCCCACAAAGACGGCAATATCCAAATATACATGTTTGATCCCCATGAGAAAAATAGCAAATAAATCATACTGAGTGCTATTTTTTTGAAAATGTAAAAATGCAGAAAGCTTTCTGGGTATAGTCGGGGCTAGGGTTAAGGGAGAGAATATGCAGTTTGTACATTGTGTGTTTGGACTGCAATGGCAAAATGTAAACAGGAGATCAGGAAAGCAGCCAATTCAATTTTTAGGACAGTGCAACCGGTGCGACCACAGCGCTTTTGGGGACCTCTCTGCAAATGGACAGAAGGGACCTAGCACTGAGCACCGATGCTTGAGAGATGTCCCTGCTTGCAAATATTTGTTTACTTTAACATTTTGAAAAATATGTAAAAAACATTTATTTAGATGTATTAAAAAAGTACTATAAAAGTCATATTTATACACATTTGTGATTTTTTAAATTTTCTTTAACCATTATTTAACATTTATTTTGATTTTGCTGGCTGCAACACACTCCAGAAAGTTGGGAAAAAGGCATGTTTACCATTGTATCACATTACCTTTCCTTGTTTTAATAATTTGGAAATTAGGGATACTAATTGTTGCAGTTTTGCAAGTGGAATTATTACTCAATCTCACCTGATACAAGACAGCTGCTCAACAGTCGGGTTGTCATTGTCTGATTCTCCTTTTCTTGATAGGCCATACATTTTCAAAAGGAGACAGTTCTGGACTACAGGAAAGACAGACAAGCACATCCCTTCTACGGTGATGAGCATCTACGAAACCCCTCTGTTGTTGCCCGTGCATCAATGTGAGTCACCCTTGCCTGGATGGTCACTTTCATCTTGGATCTGAAAACTCATTGTCCATTTTTCCTAAAAGCATGCTTAAACGTGGACTTATCTGACCACAGCACACATTTCCACTGTGTTGTGGAGCATCTGAGATGAGCTCAGGCCCAGAGAACTCACCGGCATCTCTGCATTGAACAGAATAGCTTTCTCCTTGCGTAACAAAGATTCAAGTTGCATATCTTGATGCGAAGTACTCGGGAGATATGCAACAGTCGAAATGCATATGTGGCTATATTTAACACAATAGCATGATGGTTTCTCAGGCAGTGTGAGGGCTCAAAGGTCACACACATTCAAAAGATGTTTCCTGTCTTGCCATTGTCCTATTTGTTCTGAGATTTCTCTGGATTCCCGTTTTAACACTATTATGTGTAGTATATGGTGAAATAATTTGCAATCTTTTATTTTTTTAATCGTTTGATAATTCTTTCATGAAATTCTGCACAAAGTGGTGAACCAAGACCCATGTTTCCTTGCAAAGACTAAACCTTTGCTGGATGCTCATTACCCCAACACAAGATTACCAATTCACCTGCTAATTGTGGACTGTTTCCTAAAAAGTTTTCTTAGAAATTCTTAGAAATTCTGTAATCTTTTCACTCTTATTTAGCCTCTGTTCCAACTGTTTTGGATTGTGCAAAATCAAAATTCATAAAATGTGAAAACAGTGAGATTATTAATCTTTGTATTCTTGTCAGTTGAATAAGACTTAAGAAATCACAGATTCTTGATTTTATTACATTCTAGAAAATGTCCCAACATTTCTTAACTTACGGTTGTAACTTCATCCCAAAACTGAGGTTTGATGTTGCATACCAAACAAAACAAAAGAAAAACAAAATGAGCATTAAAAAGGAACCAATGAAACTAAGTCCGCATGTCAATGTCCGGGAAAATTTCCCAGAGCACAAAGGTTGAACACAGAAATGTCAAACTACTAAGCTTACAATGGTACAACAAATGCCATAGTTAGGAAGAGGACAATAACAGCACTGTGAGTCTGTGTGGACTATGTGGGAATATTCAACATTCGTGTCGAAACTGCAAAAATGATCTCACACTCAGAAGACAGTTCAAAAACTGGTCATAATAAGCTCTACAGGAACTACAGGACTGCTCACATAAAACCTACGTATTTGACACAATTGTTACCACACTCCTCAACTCTGGGTCAGTTAGCAATTTCTTTTCTGAGGAACACTGCTACGAACTCCAGCTCCAAAAAAGGCACAGCACCATCCTATAGACCCCTTTTGGGCCGACGACACAGTTTCGTCACGGCGCTAGCTGGAGGCAAAACAAAGTGAAAACTGGAGGCGGCCAAGGCAAACCAGCACAGATCATCTTATTGTGTTGTTTGGTGCAAGTATCAATGAAAAATGAATATGCTGTATCTGAAATTTTTATTTCTAGAAAATATTCACATCATTAAAATCGCACCTTAATGTCACTCGTTACATTGTCGTCGTCTCGGCGCTGGCTCGGCCAACCCGATCTCACGACCAAGTCGTACGAATTCGACGAATGATTAAAAAGTGGCTAATTCGTAACAATTCATACGACCTCACTCGTACGAATTAATACGATTTTGCTAAATCGTACATATTTTACGAATTGGCCAATTCGTATGAATTCATACGAATGACCTACCCCTGACCCCGCCCCTAAACCTAACCATCACGTGGGTTTAGACAAATCGTACGAATTAGTACGAGTGAGGTCGTACGAATTAGTACGAATTAGACACTTTTTAATCATGCGTCGAATTCGTACGAATTGGTCGTGAGATAGTGTTGGCTCGGCAGAACTGTGGATCGTACACACAAGTCTTGTACATGACCATTCAGCATATAGTTATAGGCATCTAAAGATTTATATGCCCAAAGTTTCTCTTTGCGATCGTTTTCTCTAAAAAGGTAGGTGTAGAAGTCAGGCCACTCAACCGAGGTAAAGTAACGTCAATCCTGTCAGATCGTCCATGCATTGAGTGAGCTTGTGAAGGCTATGGGTCATCCAATCTGGTTCTGTCCGTTAAAATTAACTTTTGAAAATAACAATCGCGGTCCTGGACACTGAGTGACCTTACACATTAAGATAAAATCTGATTTTCTTCAGTCATTGTTAAAAAACAAGCTAAGAAAGCTTGCTAACTAGCGTTAGTGAAGCGGCCAGAGGGATCGTTCTGCCTCCACCTAAGCTCCGCCCACATAAAAACGTCACCATGTTTACCAACTGAAAAGGGGTCTATACAAAGTTCAATTTGTGACTGGAAAGTCACTCGGCCAAGGCTTGTTTGTTACTGTGTGGGAGATTGGTCCATCGGCTACATACATAGGTCATCTGCCTCCCGGCTCTGGAGAATTCCACTGTGGGAATTGTAGCGGGGCGTCCTTGGTTTGTGACACATGATCACATCCTATCCTACAGGGGTGCCCAATCCTGCTCCTGGCGATTGACTGTCCTGCACAGTTCATCTCAAGCCAATTAAGGTCTTTAGGATCACATTCAGCTGTGTTTGATTAGGGTTGGAGATGAACTGTGCAGGACAGTCGATCGCCAGGAGCAGGATTGGGCACCCCTGCTAGTGTCAAAGTCCTGAAGTGGGAAAAGAAATTGAGGGTCAGTTCTGGCAGGCCAGGTAGTCAAGATGCTGCCAACGCTATCGTCAGAAACACGGTCTCATCAGCGATCGCTGAGCTGAGCTGCATCAGCGCATCTGCTGTTCATCTCCCCTCGCTGCTAATGAGTACGCTCAAATCAGGGCCCCCTATTTAAGCAGATTCAGTTCACTCCTAACTGCTTGTTGCTCACTCTCTGCAATCCACCTCCTCTCCAGCTCCTCCTTGTCGTGTATAACGTGGCATTGGATTTTCTGTCATTGTTGTTGCTTTGTTCATATGGGGATAGTTCTGCTCTCCCAGTACTAAACTGTGAGCATTCTCTAATGGTGCTCCTGTCCTCTGACTCTCTGCTATTTCATGGTGCTCATGAAAGGTTAGAGGACTCCCTGAACAGCGCCACTTAACACAAGAATATCAAGGTGCAATGGGAAGCATATCTCAGTGGAAATATGCAATCAGTGCCTGCCCGAAGGGATGGACTTATTTGTCCTGAGAGGGAAGTGCAAATGGGGAACACTGGGGTATCCAGCCCGAAGAGGGGAATATTTCAACCCCAGGAGTGGCAAGGTGGCTTGCCAAGGGAAACACACATGCTCAGAGAGGCTTACAGTCGAAATGCACATGTGGCGGTCGCCCAGAGGGGGTATCATGTCAGCATGTTAGAACATGTTTTGCAGCCTCAGTCTGCTTCTGGGCGGCCGAGAACTTTCGCTGCCAGCAATGATCCCGAGATGCCCGACAGGGATCACCCATGCCCATATTTCAATGATATGTTACAATTCACTGAAGTCAAGGGAGATTCTTATCGGCTGAAATGTGTTCTATCTCCTTCTATGGGGCGGAGTTACGCCATGCAAATTCCGCAGACCCATGGTATTTTCTTGCCATTGGCTGTTTTTATTTCTTTCGAAGATGAGAGACTTCAAAGAGAAACCCATTTTGTAGTCATTCGACGTAACTCGAAATTACAATGAAAGGGAACTGATTTTCATCATCACAACATTGTTCCTTTTGTTTTGGATTGCACTTTAAATATTTTTATCATTTATGCACATGTTGTTTGTTGACATTTGTTTGAACAAATAATATTATAATTATGTATGAATGTCAATAATATGGGTGGTTTAGTACTTGAACAGAAATGTATTACATTTAGTTTCTAAATTTATCTTGTGCTGAAAGCGCATTTGAAAGAATTCAAAACAACTTTCAAAACAAGAAGAACAATCATGACACTGACAAGTGATCAGCACATACTGTATCCAAAGCTTTTCAAAGAAATAGGAAATCGAAACTGCTGTGCTTGTGAAAGTGAAACTGGGAACTGTGCCCTTCCTATAAACCCCTAATCTTTTGATGGCTATAAGCAGCTAATCTTCTTCAGTATAATAACAGCCTTAGACAATCATTAAAACCTTAAACACAATGAAGACTGCTGCAGTTATTGTTTTTCTGGTCTATCTGCTTGCTCCAGAAGTACACGGTGAGTTCTCCTTAAGACCTTATTGATTCTGCAAGTGTATCTCTTAAATATTAGTTTGTTATATTGTTCTGCAGCTAAAAGATCCTAAAAAAATCTCTCTTCCAGGGCAGAACAAGACTCACAAAGGCAGGTGCTTCTGTGCTGACAAAGGAGCGGATGTGGTTTTAAGGAAAAATATTGAGAAGTTTGAAATCATGCCTCAAAGTCCATCTTGTGGAAAACAAGAGGTTATGTAAGAACAAAAACAATGTTTTTACATGGATATTTACACATTAATGATCATACTGCTATCTTAACATTCTTGAACACATTCAGCTCATCTTTCCTTTTTTATTTCCAGTGTCACTTTGAAGAGTGGAGAGCGGAAATGCTTGAACCAAGAGTCTAAATTCACCCAGAACTTAATCAGGAAGGCTCTTGAAAAGATGTTAGTATATATAATGTTTTTTTTTTTTTTTTGTAGTTTAGCTGTATGTTTAATTAAAAATTAAAAACAGTTTTTAAAATGATTAATTTTATATACATTCAATAAAACTTTTCTGATCTTTACAGGGCCCAGCAGTCAGAGTGAAGCTTCATGTGAAGCTGGATTAGATTCTACACCACTGAAGAACATCCCATGATACCCATGAAATGCTGTGTAACCTCTATAGTTGACATTAGACTGGAGAACATGTAAACTGTTTAGTGTAAATATTTGCTTGTTAATTTATGCAACTATTTAGAGTGGGACACTATTTAGTAATTATAAAATGTTTTGTTTCTTTTAAAATTTTATTTTAGGTATATTCTTGTTTTATATTCATATTATGTACTGTTACAATTTACTTATGGCGTTTAATTATTTTATCGTCCATCTGTGTCCAAATAAAACATTTTTCTTTAAAAAAAAAAATGGGGCCTGTTAATTCTTAGGGACAAAAATGATTTCCCCACAGTGCAGGTCACAATTATATGGCATTAGCATACCAGAAAATTATACATTATCCAATATATTATCAAGGGAAGAAAGAATTTGCTAATTTAGTTTTTAAATCACAAATTTGAACATCAGAAACATCAAAGAACATAATTTGATCATCATAGGATAAGATGACCTTGTACAAGAAGCCTCTTGAGAGGAAACCTAAAAATAAAATGAAAATACATCATTAAATTTGATGATATGCGAGTGCCATTAACATAAAATGCTAAATGCATTTTGACAAGTTAGTTGAAAAATTGAGAGTGTTACAAACTGCTTCAAGACACAAAGGTTGAGATCCAAATGCAGCTTTATTTGAGTTATCCAGAATCATAATCTAAACACAAGAAAAAGGCTCAAGCACAGGAAGGCAGTTCAAACAAACACACAGGCAGCAGTCACGGGCAAAAATGGAATCCAAGAAAAAGGCAAGAACCCAGAGAGAACCCATTATTTTTGCTTATTTTAATATTTTTCTAACTCAACAATATAACAACAGTTGATATCGTTCTGTAATGCTTTGCTAACTAGCAGAAGACACTAGCAGGGTTGTGCAGTTGGGGCATGTTAACACTGCTTTATGTGTCCCTAGAAATATGCTATTATATTCTATACTTTTATGAATTCTATTGAGAAAACATGAGAAACATGTAAATAAATACTAAGAATAAATGTTCAGAAATTATTAATTATTATTTTGTTTTGAACTATGCTGTATAGCTGTGTTTTCCGGTGTATTTGTCATCAAATTCAAAAATAGTTTATTTTTAATTATTAAAAAAATGCCATTGTTATACATGAAAAAGTTAATAATTGTATTTTATTAAGAAAATATTTTGGTTTGAATTGTATATGTTTTTGATAAGATAAGATAGCATTTTAAGCTGTCATATCATGGTGTTACAATGTGCCCCTCACATGTTACAATGTACCCCACCTATGGGGCATGTTGTCACATTTCACTTCCATTCTTTCAGGGTAAATCAAGAAAAAAGTATACACTGTATTAAAAAAACAAAACCACATAATTGTACTAGACATGTGGAAAATTAATGTGGTAAAAAATGTATACTCTAAACCCTATAGATTTACACAAACTGAGAGAGTCAAAAAGCATTAGGTTGTGCCATGCTCTCCACTATTGCCCATATACTCTATTTACTTCAACTTCAACTTTTTATTAATTAATTACAAACCTTTCTAATCCAGAGGAAACCTGTGTGTGATATATAGCAATTATAATGATAATTTGATGTTATGTTTACTTAAGAGTATTACTATGAAACAATGAACATGTTTTGATGACATGAGGATGAATCACAGTGGATTTTGACTGTTCAGTAACTCCAGAATAAAATCTTTCATTTTTCATTTGAAGACAGAAGAATTGAACTTGTTTTAGTAATGAAGTCAGTAATTGAAATGAACTGAATTTAGCTGAATAATTATCTTGTTACAGCGGTTTTTACAGCAGAATTTGAATTTGAATAATTAATTATGTTACTACTGTTTTTTTTTAAATATACTTGATTTGAAACCATTTCTATTGTGTAAGTGCCATAAAAATAAATGTGACTTGACTCCATTATATATTTAATGGCTGATGTACTGCACATTCAATTTAGCCTCTGCAGAAAAGACCTTGGAAAATCTCAAGTGTGCAATTTATAAGAAAGCAACCTGTTTTCAGAAAGTGAAAGCACTAAAGGACACTGCTGTCATGATGAAATAGTTTTAGACTGGGGAGAAAAAAAATGATGTTTATATCAGATGTTGAAGTTTTGTATTACAAGAAGTTCATATATAAATAAAATATGTAGAACAGTTATCAGATGTAAGATATAAAAAACAGTAAAGCAAGTTGTGTGATTTAGACATAAACGGAAATATCTCATTTTTAATAAGAGAAACAAAGTCATTCTTTAATAAACTCATATTGTGCATATTGGTTTGTCTTTATTTCTGATGTGTTGATGTCCATAAACACACACACACACACACACACACACAGTGAAGACAAAGCAATAATGCACATGAGTTTATCAAAGAGTGACTTTTTAATATTATTATTGTATGTTTTTAAAACACATTCATTTATTATTTTTATTAATTATATTGTTATTTTATTTTTAATAATATATATATATATATATATATATATATATGTGGTCGATGGCCGATGGTCGGCCAAAATTCATTGGTGTGTTTTAAAAAGTGTATTGTGTGTGTTTGTGTGTAGGTGAGTGTGTCTGTTTGCACTCTTGGTGTTTTAGAGTGTCACCCCCTTCATTGTTGAACCCTTTTTTTCTGCATCATGGCCGATTTGTAGATTATACACACAACAATTCTTAGACTTTTTGTGTTTTTGTCAATTTCACATTAATTTCCTATGGTCGTTAATTTTTTGACCGAAGAGCACTTAGTGTGACTTTTTTTTTTTTTTTTTTTTTTTTTTACGATAACTTAGCCTGCTCGGATCATCTAAATTTTTTATTTTGTGTGTTCAGATACCGCATGCCATAAAATCACCAAGTTTCGTAACATTCCAATGAAGTTTTTGATTGAATCTTTTTTGGTTAGAAATGACCAAAGACCACCTGAAGATCACAAAACTGTTTTACTTTCCCCCTCCACGCACTATATGTTATATGTGGTGTGATATGCAAACATGATGCCACAACTTATCATCTGCAAAATCATCTCTAACTTTGTTTCTGTTAATTTCCCAGAAACTGGGTAATAGGAAGTGTAACTGTAAGTCTGAAAGTATCAAAAAGGGAAATCCCAGAATGTCTTAGGCTTAGACTTGTATAAAATGCAGAAATTCTGCTCATTTACTCACATTTGTTCAGCTAAGTGGTTTAAGGTGAAGACCATCAAGAGATTGAACAATGAAGACTGTGGCCGCTCTACTTGTTTTTATCAGTTTGGCTTTTGTTGCTATCGAAGGTAATATTATTTTTGCTTATTTTAATATTTTTCTAACTCAACAACATCTGTAGCTTTGTTGTTTCAGTCTAATCATTTTCATCATTTATTTCTATCAACCTCTATAGGGCAGCGTGCACCTGGAATCCAAAGATGTTTATGTCGGGGTCCTGGGGTAAAGATAGTGAATCCAAAGCTGATAGAGAAAGTGGAAATTCACCCTGCTAGTCCATCTTGTGGACATCTGGAAGTTGTGTAAGTACATTGATTATTTATCTATCTTTAGATTAATTAAGATCTACATGGGTGATTTTTAATCATATTGAGTACAGCTTTATCTGTATTCACTTAAAATTACTTGACTGTGTCTAAACAGTGTCTTGCTGAAGAATGGTGCAAGGCGAAGATGCTTAAACCCAGAGTCAGTGTTTACCCAGAATATCATTAGGATGATTGCAAATAAGAACAGGTGAGTCTTATCAGTGACATTACAATTGATACTGAAAATTTGAGCTAAACATCTTTCATGTGTTAAAAATGAAAAAAGGATAAAATGATATATATATATGTGTGTGTGTGTGTGTGTGTGTTAAATATTATGATATAATGTAGGAATAATGTTCATATATGTTTTTTTCTTTTTAGGAGTGCTCAGTGAAAAGTGTGAAGTGGTTCAACTGCATTTTCATGTGTGAAGGTTGTGGCCAGTGTGGACTTTCATTAAATAGTCATTAAAAAGCTGTATTGATTATTTTTATGTAAGTTATTACATAATGTAAATTATTTTTTACATATTAAGTTATGAGTTTATTTTATATAAAAAAACATGTTATCATATGTTCTTCTGTTTGTGTTTATTGTCAGAGAGAATGTTCAAATAAAATGTTATCAAGGTTTCCTCATTTTTGTCTGAGTTAATGATCTTTGTTAGTGTTTCCTTAACAAATGTTATGCCATTGGTTATACTGGGGGGGTGTCTGAGTCTATGTGAGGTTCATATATGCCCTACATTATGGGGACAAAGATGGCAAAATCTAAAATTCTTGAACTTGTGGGTACATTTTTAATCCCCATGAGGAAAACAGTTTACAAATTATACTACATTGTATAAAAACTATACACGTTTTTTTGAAAATCTAAAAATGCAGAAAGTTTTCTGTGATGGTTGGGGTAGGGCCAGGGGATAGAATATTAATATAGCTAAAATATTAGGGTATAAAAATCATTATGTCTATGGAAAGCCTGTGTGTGTTTAGACTTCAATGGCAAAATGTAAACAGGAGATCAGAGGCTTGTTGCATTAGGTTAGTTAAACACTCAGATTCAAAGTAGGTTTAGAGTTGACAAATCCATATTAATCCAGCCTAGTTATAATCAGGTTCAACAGATTCACAATGCTTGGTATGAACATTCTCTATCAACTCAGGTTTAATCCAGAGATTACGATTAAATTTGAAGTATGTTCACCTGAATGTGTGACATGTGTGGTAAACAGCCAATCACACAGAACGGCGCGCACTATTTTGATTCACTTCTCGCGGGAGAGTTGGTGGATTCACTTCCCTGCTGAAGATTAAAAGGTTAGTTCACTCAAAAATGAAAATTATCCAATAATTTAGGCAAACAACACTGCAAGACGGAAGAGAACCAGGACTACGGCCTAATACCATGAAGCCGGTTTAGGTGGCTAGCAAGCTATGTTTTAGTTTAGTTTGTGCCAACCCTGGGTTTTAGGTAGGCCTACCATGAAAGTGGTTTAGCTTTTAGCAGTGTTCATCGCCATAGTAACTTACACTCCACAGCTAACCTGGTCCAGGTTATGTTCCAGGTAAGAGGTTGCAAAACAAAACTTTGACCAATCAGCTGTGAGCAGAGTAACACATGTCTGACGCGGTAAAGTCATTCAACCTGTTTTTACTCCAAATTAAAGGTCACCAAAAAGCAAATTATCTTGAAAGACAATATCATATCTGGCTTTTAGTAATACTTATTTAGAATAATAATAATTTGTATGATTTAGAAATTATTTATGTAATAACAACTTTGACCTTAAAGCCCGGAACACACCAAGCTGACGCCAACGAACTAGCGCTGATGAAAGCCGACGGGATCGTCATGTAAACGACGTTTAAGGGTACCCTAAAACGGCGGATGTTGACGTATGTTGACATCAAAAGACGTCCCAAGACGTCATATACGTCTTGATCTCCTGTTTACTGACGTAGACGTTTTTTACTGACGTAGTATAATTTGTAAACTGTTTTCCTCATGGGGATTAAAAATGTACCCACAAGTTCAAGAATTTTAGATTTTGCCATCTTTGTCCCCATAATGTAGGGCATATCTGAACCTCACATAGACTCAGACACCCCCCCTCTTTTTTGAGACTGTGTTATAAGCCAGCTTCTCCTATTATGTTCAAATTTCTGCTTTAAAAAGTAAATTAGCACATTCTTTCTTCCCTTGATAATATATTGGAAAATGCATCATTGTCCTGTATGCAAATATGCAAAATAATTGTACCCTATATTGACCTGCAAAGTGTGTAATTTAGTTTCTGAATTAACAGAGCCCAATCATTTAGGGATTTTTTTTATTTTATTTTATTTTATTTAGTAACAGTGAAGACAGAGAGAAAAATAAGATAATTAAAGAAGTGTACTGTATAATAGCACAAAAATGAACATAAAACAATGAAATAAAAAAACTAACTTGGATAAGAATTAAAACATTTTAGTAAATAACTAAACAGGTAGTTGCATAAATTAAGAAGCAAATATTTACACTACTTTATACTTCACTATGCTTATACAGATGTTCTCTATGTTATCAAATGCAGTAAAGGTCAACTAGAGGTTACACAGCATTTCATGGGTATCAGGATGTTCTTCATTGGTGTAGAATCTAATCCAGCTTCACGAGCATCTCTGACTGCTGGGCCCTGTAAAGATCAGAAACAGTTCATCATATATTATTTAAGAAATATTTATATACATTTTAATTAATAATTTATTAAATTAATAAGTAGCAATATGGTGCTAATTTTTAGTTGAACACAGCAAAACTACAAATACATTTACACTAACATCTTTTCAAGAACCCTCCTGAGTATCTTCTGGGTGAATTTAGACTCTTGGTTCAAGCATTTCCGCTCTCCACTCTTCAAAGTGACACTGGAAATAAAAAAGGAAAGATGAGCTGAATGTGTTCAAGAATGTTAAGATAAAATATCCATGTAAAATCATTGTTTTTGTTCTTACATAACCTCTTGTTTTCCACAAGATGGACTTTGAGGCATGATTTCAAACTTCTCAATGTTTTTCCTTAAAACCACATCCGCTCCTTTGTCAGCACAGAAGCACCTGCCTTTGTGAGTCTTGTTCTGCCCTGGAAGAGAGATTTTTTGGGATTTTTGTATAGCTGCAGAACAATATAACAAACTAATATTTAAGAGATACACTTGGAGAATCAATAAGGTCTTAAGGAGAACTCACCGTGTACTTCTGGAGCAAGCAGATAGACCAGAAAAACAATAACTGCAGCAGTCTTCATTGTGTTTAAGGTTTTAATGATTGTCTAAGCCTGTTATTATACTGAAGAAGATTAGCTGCTTATAGCCATCAAAAGATTAGGGGTTTATAGGAAGGGCACAGTTCCCAGTTTCACTTTCACAAGCACAGCAGTTTCGATTTCCCATTTCTTTGAAAAGCTTTGGATACAGTATGTGCTGATCACTTGTCATTTAGTGCCATGATTGGTCTTGGTAACGAAGAAAAGTTTGTTTTATACAATTTTGAAAGCTGATGTGAATTCCTTCAGCCAAATGTAATACATTCCTGCAAATACTAAACCACCCTTGATATTGATTACTGATATTCATTTGTACAAACAAATGTAAACAAAAAATCTAATTTGCCACTAATGTGTTCAAAACCATGTGCACAAATTGTTAAAATGTTTAAAATAATAATAATAAACACTAACATTTTGGATCATGAAATTAACAATACAGTGATGATGAAAATTAGTGACATCACAGCAAAGGAAACTAACTAAACTTCTGTTTTCAGACGAACAGAATCAATAATCAGTTTTCACTTCCCCTGCATCTAAAATAGATTCTTATAGTGTTATTTCACTAAAAAATGAAAGTTCTGTCAGTAATTACTCACCAGTAAGGCATTCATTCATCTAATTAACACAAATGAAGATACTTTTGATTAAATCTGAAAGCTGTCTCACTCCTCCAGGCTTCTATTGTAACTGAAAGCTGTGGCCCAGAAAGTTAGTAAAAACATTGCTAAAATAGTCCAACAGTGACTCAACCTAAAGTGAGGAGAAAACAAAAAACCAAAAATGACAACTTTATTCAACTATTCTTCATCTTCTCGTGGATCAGAACGTAGGCTCACTATTGGCCGACGCTGGTCATGAGTGTAATGCAGGCCAATAGTGAGCCTATGCATTCTGACGTAGCAGAGGGGAATTGATAAAGGCCTTCTGAAGCGAAGCAATGTGTTTGTGTAAGAAAAATATCTGTAGAGTTTGAATGAAGAATCATGAATTCATTAATTCTGAACACCATGCATATTCTCGCGAATGGGTTCTAAAGCCCACAACCTATGACTCATCCAATCTAAATCATCAGTTAGTGCCAGCAAGTCTGAAGTTTAAATTGATTCCGATCCATTCGTGAGGCAAAATCAAAGAAGATGATACACACACACACACACACACACACACACAAACAGATGTATTATTAACATTAAAACCCTGAAATCAGTGATTCTGAAATTCATATATGATGTATTCGAGCCCGATCTCATGAAAGTTCGTATCTACAGCATGTCATTTCTCGTGCAATTTATACGGCAAAACTAGTTTTTGCGTGCATATGGTACGCGTTTTTCACGTGCATATGATACACACTTTTTGCCGTATAATGAGTACGAACTCCCCACCCCCCTTCCCCCTAAACCTACCCTGGGGGTTTTCAGTGCGTAGCACAATTTTTGGTGTCTAAACGCCACGAGAATTGACAATCGTGGTATCGATACACACTTTCATGAGACTGTGTTGTGTATTCCTGTATGTTTGAGTTTCATACTGTTGTATCAAGTCTAGGATTGTTAGTTGTGTAGTTGAATTCAAAGGGCTTCTATAAAGAATCTGAGAGCATATGAATGCCAGACGCAAACTTATTGGTATCAAATGAAATGTCTTGACTTGCCCGAGCCAAATATATCTAATAGGTTACTGTAAAAAGTAGTCCACTATGTTTTTCCATCTTTGAAGCGAAATGGCCAAACTTGCAACCTCATAAAAACACACAAATGAGGTCATCAGGGGAAGACAAAGAACTCTTTGCGCACCCAATACCTGCTGGGTGCTATTGATTCGTTCGTCCAAAGAAGGCGTGTGAACTTTTACTTTAAAATATCACGACACTGATCTCTCCTTTTCTTCTTCGTGTCATTCTCTTCTTCGTGTCACTCTTCTGTCAGTGTTACCTTCTTGTCTTGCTGTTTGGTCTCTCGTCTTATTTGTCTTTTATTTTATTTTGCATTAAGCTCAGTCTTTTTCTCAGCCCATTCTCACCCCCAAGGCGTCTTCTAACTGGGAAGCATTTGACCATGCTTCAATATCTGACGCTTTAGGCGCCCTTTAGCGTCAGTTAGATGACGTCCTAGGATCGCGTGTACCCTCCCCCCACCCCAGACCTAAACCTAACCGCGTCCTCGAACTGGCGCTTTCCTTTAGCGTCAGTTAGATGACGCCGTAGGATCGCGTCATGTAAGTGACGCTAAAGGGCAAATATTGAAGCATGGTCAAAGGTGACGTCTTGGGGTGAGAATGCGTTGTTTTTCTTAGTGCTCAGTTCTCGTCTCCGGACCAACTCTGCAATTTACATCCTGGTGAAAACCAACTCCACACTTTACCTCCTGATGAAAGGACTCTCCTCCGCAGCGTATCTTTAAGATGTTTTTGAACTTCCGGCGAGCAAAACGCGCTCTGGAAGAACCAAAAGACCGCCTCCATCTCACAAGCAATAAGGAGAGCCTTGTTCAGCAACATAAGAGAACCATATATGCAAGTATATCCATCTAAATTTAAATGTGTTTAAAGTGACTTGTTGGCTCTTAAGGTTCAGCTGTGGTAGCAATTGTGTTTTTATAAGATATTTTAAGATATTTTTCTTACACAATTACGCCTTTATTTACCTCCTGGTGGTGTGTGGAGTTCGTTTATGATGGATGTGCACTTTTATGGACTTCAAAACAGAAACAATTCAATGCTATAAAGATTAGAAGAGCTCGGACATTTTTTAATATAACTCTGATTGTATTTGTCTGAAAGAAGAATGTCATTACACCTAGGATGTTTTGAGGGTGAGTGAATCATGGGCTAATTTTCATTTTTGTGTGAACTATCCATTTAAGCCAGCAACTTCAACTGCAATAAACATGGATTACCTGCATTCCAGTTTTCTGTCCGTCTGTTACGTAACAGTTTTGCTTCATTAAAAGTTATATTGAAAGAGATTGCATTGATTTGGTGTATTATCTATCTTTCACTATATTGATATACTTTAATTTGTGCACTAAATAGAGTTAATAAACATTGTGATGTGCTTAAAACAGCTCATAAATCAATCAGTTATCATGTTTGGCATGCCCAAACTTTCAGTGTTTTGGTATAATATTCGGTCTAATATTACTCCCACCAAAACATAATTAATATAAAAATTTCAGTCCATTTCTGCAATATTTACTTCCTCATTTATGTTAATTTCAACTCAGAGTGCAAATTACTGCTTCTGGTGGTGTAGGAGCCACTTCTGAGAAATCACAACTTAAAGGGAGAGGAAGGTGGAAGGAGGGAGGGGGGAAGCTGGAACTGAGGGGAAACCCCTGGTCCTAGAGTATTTAAATGAGCTCTGAATGCCTTCAGTCATAATCTCACTGACCCAGACAGACGCAGTTCATCGAGAACAAGACAATGAAGACTATTGCAGCTTTTATTCTTCTTGCCTGCCTGATTGCTGTAGGAGTGAAAGGTGAGTTTGATCTCTGAGAGTTATAGATCAAAGTCTTTTGGTTATGATGATGTTTTGCAGCTAATAGACTATAATGACATTTCTTTTCCAGGGCAGGACAGGTCTTCAAAGGGCAGGTGCTTTTGTGCAGACAAAGGTGCAAACATGGTTTTAGTGAAGAACATCGAGAAGGTTGAAATCATCCCTCCAAGTCCATCTTGTCACAAACGTGAGATTATGTAAGCATAGCCAACATTTGTATGCATTCATTTATTTAAATGTTCATCAACTTTACAAACTCCTGAGCAAGATTCATCTCATCACTTTCATTTCACAGTGTCACTTTGAAGAATGGTGCAGGAAAGAAATGCCTGAATCCTGAGTCAAAATTCACTAAAAATGTCATATTAAAGGCTCTTGATAAGAGGTGAGAATATTTGCTTTAAGTTTATTTACTTATCATTTACATATTCAATACAAAGACATAAACTCATCTGGCAGAGGAGGACACATAGCAATTAACTAAATTAATTAATACAAATATAATAAATTAATTTTTTTTCTGATTTTGCAGGAGCCAACAGTCTGTGCCACACAGTACATCTGTCACTGTGACACTGAAGAACATCCTGACATCAACACCATCAGCATCAACATCCTTCAAATGACTCCATAGACTTATGTATTCATACAATGCCTAAAAAAGTTGGGAATCAATTTAGAAAAAAAAAAAAAAAAAAAAAACGTAAAATATGTAATGCCTAAGCTAATTAATTTATTTTTATGTGAGCACTCCATTGTAAACATCCTTAATGTTTTTTTTTTTCATATTTTCATAAGACCACTGAACAATGTGTCATATGCACAGTCTTGTTTTAATTTGATGTGATTTTATGTTTTAAATTGTTAAATAAAGCTTTTTATCTACAAATTACATCTTCTGACTTCTTTTAGAGTAGTTTTTGCATTCTGAGATTCTAAATAAAAATGCATGATGCTACATTTATGATGAGCAATAGTTCCACAGGAATCACTAAAACTTCACAAAACTCAATAAAGCTTTCAAACATTGTTTCACAAATACATTTTATGTGAATAGTTTAGACTAAATTGACTGGATTTAGTGTTCCTGTTTCAGTTATAAGTTGCTGTTCTATTATGATTTCCCAAAAGCATCATGAGCCTAGTTGATTGTAAAACAATTGCCAACGGTCTTTACAATCAATTTAGGCTTACAATGCTTTTGGTAAACCCAGCCCTTGCTGGTAGAAAGACTTCTATCAGTGCAATCTAATGTAGATTTAATCATATCAAACAAAATTTTGACGTGAATAAATTAAGATAATTTAATAGGGTTTAGAAGGTTTTTGAAGTATAATTTTATAACGTAGGGTTTACAAGGCCACATACTGTACACATATGTAAAGTGATCTGGTAGTGTTTGGACTATAGAAATTGACTGGTGACATGTGACGTCAGGCTTAAAAGGTTCGTTCTTCCAGAAACACTCGGGAGAATAAATACTGTGACAATAAATGCATTTATTGATAGCCCAGCAAGCAATAAAGTTCTTTGGCGTAGGCCCCGTCTGCATCCTGGTGGTGGTTGGGAGGATGGAAGGAAAACTCAAACATATGAAAGTACTGGTCTTTTATACTGCAAGTATGAGAAGGTAATAAGTGACGTTACAATTGAGTCTTCCTGGCAGAACTTAACGCTAAAGCTTCCATTTCAACCAAAAATGAAAATTATGTCATTAATGACTCACCCTCATGTTGTTCCAAGCCCGAAAGACCTCTGTTCATCTTCGGAACACAGTTTAAGATATTTTAGATTTAGTCCGAGAGTTTTGTCCCTCTATTGAAAATGTATGGTATACTGTCCTTGTCCAGAAAGGAAATAAATACATCATCAAAGTAGTCCGTGTGACACCAGTGGGTTAGTTGGAATTTTTTGAAGCATCGAAAATGCATTTTGGTCCAAAAATAACAAAAAATATGACTTTATTCAGCATTGTGGTTCGGTTGTCAAGCAACTGCTGACGTGTTATCTGGTGCGCCCAAGCTTCGTTTACAAAACAAAACAATCTTCACAAACATGTCTAAGGATTTCGACACAGAGGAAGACGTGCATTTTTTTTGCCCAGCTATATTTATTCGAACCCGAATACACAAACGCACCAGATACACGTCAGCAGCGTCTTACGTCATCAGCGTCACTGAATGCGGATTGACAACAGAACCGGAAGACAATACAATGCTGAATAAAGTCGTAGTTTTTGCTATTTTTGGACCAAAATGTACTCCGATGCTTCAAAACATTCTAAAACGTTTCTATGCCATTCTAAACATTTGCTATTGCTGTAATCTCATGTGAGTGACAGGTTGATCCCACCCTCGAGCCAGTAAACACATCATCGGAGAAGAGAAGAGATGTCGGTGCAAGAGGGAGGGAAGTTAATTTGATTAAAGATTACCAGTTCACATTAATTTAAGAAAAACAATTACATTACGCACGGATAAATCATAAACTTTGGTTGACAGTTCAGTTGATTGTGTGAGAGTCTCACAATCCTATCCACAATTCCAACACTAAAAAACAGGAATACAAGTAATCTATTGAGTTTGAGGAGAACTAACTCCATAACAACACAAAATATGGACCACATCTTGTTACTTAAAATCTTTTAGTAGTTAATAGAAACTCCATACAGTTTATTGAATGTATTTACAGTAACTTGTATACGTAATTAAAAAAATGTCTCTATCATAAAAAGTAATTATACTGTTCATGCATAATCACACTATTTTCACAAATATAAATAGCAGATTAAGTGTCATTTCCAGATTTCACAACAAGACTTTCAGCTTCTCTTTCATTTTCATTTATCAGTATGAATTCAACACAATGTCTATATAAAGAAAAAGGTAGTGAAAACTCTTAATGATGTTCCAGTGAAATGAGAAATTTTGTGTAATGCCCTGCTTTTGTTTATGTCTCAAACTGTTTGGTATTTCTACATTTTAACTCTGATTAATCACTTAAATTCATCATTAGAACCTTTTTATTATTCAAATATTTAAAAATGTGAAAACAAAAGTTATTTGCTGTATATAATGCTGAAGGTTTGGTTTATCCTGAAACATATCTGTCTCACCAAGCATGTGTCATTTGAATAACCCACGAGTGCGAATAGAATAGAACTCTTAGAAGAAATGGTTCTATTTAGAACCAGAAATGGTTCCATCCCCTGCTTCATATATGGAACTCCAAAATGGTTCTATATAGAACCATTTTTTTTGGTAAAAGGTTCTATTAGCCAAGTACGGAACCCCAGGGTTCTATATGAGGACCCAGAGGAGCCCTTTTTTTAAGAGTGTAGAACCTTTTAGGGGTTCCAAATACGTAGCGCTGATAGAACCTTTTCTTCTAAGAGTGGACACTTTTATTACCATGCTGCACCTGGACTAATGTCATCCTGAGGTCATCATCGGGTGATCTTTCTACAGTCATACACTCGAAATGACCCAGCTGCCTCCTTGGCCAACTTAATGCCCCTTTGTCTACTTCTATCTGCAGAAAGACTGGGCTGCAAATCCTCTGCATCCCCTCAATAGGCTCAGAGCCTCGCGATAGGCTATACTTCAGCTCTCTTGCACCAGACAAACAAAACATTTATCGTCAATGTTTTTGTTGGCAACTTCAACTTTTCACCATCATGTCTGACAATTATTGTTTACACTGAGGACTTTTCTGAAAGAGGTTGTGAAAATGTTTGACCATTTTCCACAGAAAACACGTTTTGTCCCACATCCTATTTTGTGGTTACTTAATGCCTTTGTAAAATATGCCCAACATCCACAAGCACACCAGCAAAACCAGTGGGTGTTAACCACATTTTGTGATCAAGTGTGATCGAGGGTCAATATTTGAACATTTTAGAAAGCTTAGGAGTGTTAACTACCAGATCACCTGGATTCGGACAGATTTAATCCATAGAAAATGTTGGTTGCTTCTTGCCTACCATGGTGTGTTTTACCTTTATTCTTTTCTTCAATGGGTCGTTAGTTTGCTCCATTATTGTATTTTGCTTCATTAAAAGTGACTGTATGGCAATGTAGATTGTGTTGAAAATAGGGTTATTGTGCATTTTCCATCTTTCTCTCAATATAAGAGATTGGGATGTGTTCAAAAACAACCATTAAAAGCCATGTTTGACATGCCCTAACCTTCAGTGTTTTGGCCAAATGTTTAATAGAACTCCCACCATGATCATTAACATCAAAATTTCAGTCTAATTGAGCAACACTTCCTCATTCGTGGAAAGCTCAGAGTGCCATAAATCAAAGCTTATTCTTTTTTTCAAGATGGTTTAGGAGGTGCTTCTGAGAAATCACAATATAAAGAGAAAAAGGGGAGGAAGCTGGATAGTGAAAAAAAAAAAAAAAAACGAGAACAAAAACTGAGGGGAAACCCCTGGTCCTAGAGTATTTAAATGAGCTCTGAATGCCTTCAGTCATAATCTCACTGACCCAGACAGACGCAGTTCATCGAGAACAAGACAATGAAGACTATTGCAGCTTTTATTCTTCTTGCCTGCCTGATTGCTGTAGGAGTGAAAGGTGAGTTTGATCTCTGAGAGTTATAGATCAAAGTCTTTTGATTATGATGATGTTTTGCAGCTAATAGACTATAATGACATTTCTTTTCCAGGGCAGGACAGGTCTTCAAAGGGCAGGTGCTTTTGTGGAGACAAAGGTGCAAACATGGTTTTAGTGAAGAACATCGAGAAGGTTGAAATCATCCCTCCAAGTCCATCTTGTCACAAACGTGAGATTATGTAAGCATAGCCGACATTTGTATGGATTCATTTATTTAAATGTTCATCAACTTTAAAACTGAGCAAGATTCAGCTCATCGCTTTTGTCGTTTCACAGTGTCACTCTGAAGAATGGTGCAGGAAAGAAATGCCTGAATCCTGAGTCAAACTTCACTAAAAATGTCATATTAAAGGCTCTTGATAAGAGGTGAGAATATCTGCTTTAAGTTTATCTACTTATCATTTACATATTCAATATACAAAGATATAAACTTATCTGTCAGAGGATGACACATAGCAATTAACTAAATTAATTAATACAAATATAATAAGTTAAATTTTTTCTTTTTTTTCTTTTTTTTTTTCCAGGAGCCAACAGTCTGTGCCACACAGTACATCTGTCACTGTGACACTGAAGAACATCCTGACATCAACACCATCAGCAGCACCAACATCCTTGACTCCACAGACTTCATAGTTGGAGTTCAATTTTAAAAATGAATAGATGTCAAAATATTCAAAACATTTCTTAATGCCTAAGATGATTACTAATTATATATATATATATATTAATCTAAGCTGTAGATAGCTATTTTTTAGCTTTCATAACATAGCTTTCATAAGACCACTGAACAATGTGTCATATGTACAGTCTTTCTATAATTTAATGTATGATTTTACTTTCATTGTCCACAAAGGAGAGTTAAATAAAAGTTTTTTATCTAAACTATCTGACTTCTTTTAGAGTAGTTTTTGCATTCTGAGATTCTGAATAAAAATGCATGATGCTACATTTATGATGAGCAATAGTTCCACAGGAATCACTAAAACTTCACAAAACTCAATAAAGCTTTCAAGATTACAATTGAAAACATTGTTTCACAAATATACATCTTAAATGAGACTAAAGTGACAGGACTAACTAATTATGTTCATGTCTGTTATAATTGACCTGGTTATCATTGACCTGGCTGGTAGAAAGATTTTTACATTCATATGACTCACAAATGAGAACAATAGAAGCAATCAAATCAGCAAGAGAGTAACAGAAGGCTATGTAAGTTATGTGGAAAGTAGGGGAGTGTTGAGGTTTGTGGAAGTGGAAATAGCATGAAGACTAAGGAGGATGATATTACTGTTTTTTTTAACAAAAAACCCTTTTTTTTTTCGCTCAACATAAACGCACCATACACAAATGATAACTGACCAGGAGTGAGAACACAGGGTTTAAATACACATAGAACAGACTGGGGAAACAAGGCACTGCTGGGACAAATGAACTGAAAATGACAGGTAAACAGGTGAGGTAACAGTAATGATGCGCGGGAAAATGGAAACAGGACTAAACTAACACAGTCTCATCCCAAGAAGTCATATAACTGACGTCTTGGGATGTCTTTTGACCATACGTCAACATCCGCCTTTTTAGGGTACCCTTAAACGTCGGTTACATGACATGACGATCCCGGGCCGTCATACAACTAAAGCTTTACCTTTAACGTCAGTTATGACGGGGTAGGTTTAGGGGTAGGTTTAGGTCTGGGGTAGGGTTAGGATCCGGGACCAGCGGTGAAGGCTTGGCAGGGCTGGCGAAGTGCCCAATGGTGAATGGAGACCCATTATACCACAACACGCACTCGACGAAAGCCTCAAAGTTCTCCCGAGGCCCATCTCTCAACCTCTGCCGGGTGAATTCTGTGAGAGCTCAGCTTAAAAAAAAGCAAAGTCATGCCATCTAGATACTGATTTTGATCAGGGAAATCCGTGTAAAATGGTTTCTGTCCAAATTAATTACCATCATTAAAGGGTTTAAATCTCCCTTTACGGCTCCTCGTGCAGGGGGGAGTGGGCAGCCTCACCTTCAGCAGTCGTCGGAAAACTAGTTCCCACCGGGCTGCAGAGGATTTTGGGGAAAAGGGATTGTCAGAATACTAGTCTGGTGCCTTGTTTGATATCGTCATGCCCACATTTGGTTGTCCTTATTGGTGGGGTTCAGGTGCCTTGTCTGTTAGATACTGGCTTTATGGTGTCCACCATTACTGAGAGTTGCTTTGTACCGCATTTTGAGCCATGGGGTCAAGATCGCCTTCGTTCGTGCCAGTGGTTGCAGTTGCAGGCCTTATATTGGATATGTAGAATTGGATGTAGAACTCTGTGGCAGGTTAGAGTCAAACTGTGAGGTGCTTGTGGTCAGGGATCCTCCTGTCCGACAGGGTTATTGCCGGATACCACCCTCAGAGTATGAGGTAGTGAAGGCCCACATTGATACACTGTTGATACTTATTGTTTTGGGAGCTGATGTTCCAGATGTGGTAAGGGCCCAGGGGTGTGACATTTCCGTCACACGCGTAAGGTATTGCTTAACAATTATCAGTAACCACAGAAACAAAAAAGGATCAGGACCAGAACGAACCAAACCGAAACTAACATACTCCGGACAATAACATAGAGTTTAAATTCAAATCAAGTAGAGCCAACATTATGTGTGCTTCAGTAAGTCCACTGGTTCTCAACTCCAGTCCTTGGGACCCACTACTCTGCATATTGTGAATGTCTCGCTTATTTAACACAGCTGATTCAGATCCTCAGCTCGTTAGGATAGACTCTATGAACTGAACTGAGTGTGTCAGATAAAAGAGGCATTCAAAATGTGCAGAGCAGTGGGCCCCGAGGACTGGAGTTGGTCAACGTAAAATAAGTGCACTTCTCTAAATAATGACAAAACGTTAAAAAAACAACGATTTAAAATGATTAAAAGAAAACTTTTTATTTGACATTATTGCAAAGTGCACAGTTTTTAAGGTGTGTTAAACAGTCATCGTTTTGATACTCTTTTTTTAAGGATAATTTTTACTTGTAGCAACAGTAAACTACAGTCAGAAACGAACAAACTACTAGTCAGAAACCTTTTGACCGTGTGATTCGTTTGTGATTCATTCAGCAGTTCTCTACTGACCCCATAACTTACTGTATTCTCATCTAAGCAAACAAATCTTATGTACATTAATTATAGTAGGCTATTGATACAAGAAATTATCTAATTCCTTCCTCATTCTTGGAAAGGTCAACTCTATTAGATTTGATGAGAGAAAGTGTTTCTGAGAAATCAGACCAGTTCAGAGGCTGGACTATAAAAACAAAAACTGAAAAATTCTCAGGGGGAACCCCCTTTTAAGAGCCTATAAACACAGTGGATGAACTCAATCATCCATAACTTCATTAATTAGCCATTTGGAAGGTGAAGACAGATGATCAGTACTATGAAAACTTTTACAGCTATGATTGTTCTTGGCTGCCTGCTTGCAGAGGTGAAAAGTGAGTTTTATCTCTGAACTTTTTTCTGTAGATTTAGGAAATTCAAAGTTTTTAATATTCTGCATTTATGTTGTGAAACTATCCTTGTATCGCATGGTAGTTTATGATATGCATTGATTTTTTTCTCTTTCAGGCCAGGCTAGTGCTCCAAAGGGCAGGTGTTTTTGTGCTGACAAAGGTGTAAACATGGTTTCTCCAAAACTGATTGAGAAGGTTGAAATCATACCACCAAGTCCCTCTTGCAAAAACCACGAAATTGTGTAAGTAAATCAATACAAATCCAAATCTCTCAATATTGTACACTGCTGTTTAAATATGTTGACTGACATAATCATGCAGCAAATTGTCTTGTGTTTTTGCAGTGTTACTTTAAAAAATGGTAAAGAGCAGAAATGCTTAAAACCCGAATCTAAATTCACTCAAAAATACATCATGAGGGCTCTTAAAAAGAGGTTAGCATGTTCCGTTGAATACCTTTTCAATATATTTTGTGTTACCGCATGTCCACAAGACACAAACACCTCAAACTTGCAGAGTGAGAAATATAGAAAGAGATAAGCCCGGAAGACTCACTATTGATTGATTGTCTCTGATTATATTTTCAGGAGCCTGCAGAAGGAAGTTTGAAATATGAATCCAGATGAGCTATTGCTAAGGGAAGTTCACATGATATTAACATCAACCAACATCCTTATGACAAGAGTTGAACTGAAAATATTTAGATTACTTTTTTAGAATTCTTAATGCACGTTAATGTTTCATAATGTTCATCATTTTTTAGCTGATAAACATCATCATTAATCACGGTCGTATTTTAAAATAGTAATGCAAAACTTGATTACAGCTTCTATGACATTTCAGTATTTTTATGATCATTCTAATATGTGAAATAAACAAAATAATCAAAGCATTAAACAATCATTGTTATGAAATTAGCCTGTTTGTAAGATTTGTTTTACATCTAAATGTGAACATTTCATTTTGAACCTCATTTCAAGTTGCACATTAAGTCGATATAATAAGTCTACATTCAGAACTCAATATTTATAAATAGAAAAGAAATGGAAAGCAAAGATGAACAATTCAACTACCGACTGAACATCCAACACTGTCAGAAATAGGGGTACAGTAGGAGTCATTTTCTGTCCCCCAAGGTACAATCTACACTAACATACCCCATAGAGCTATTGGACCTCAAGGTACATATTTGAGGGTCATAAAAGGCTACTTTATGTTCCCAAGCATTATATGTAAAGTTTTACAGTAGGCCTACTGTACTGAGGCGCCAGAACTGCAGCTGATTTAATGTGTGCTGTTGCACAATATTACCATATTTTATTTTACCTTCTTATTATGTTTCCACAAAAATGTTAGTGAGTAAATCTACTGAAATTGCCAACAGTGGAGTGTGATGTAGACGTAGGGCTACACCATTTTTAAACTAGCCTACTATTAGTATTATTTGAAGTTACATAATAAATTACATAGACCTGCACCAAAAAAACTAGTTTACAAATTCTTTAAAATTTGGGCAATTCCAGAGTTATGCGGATTTAATAAATAAGAAAGAAGTAAATATCGTAGAAAATAGATCATCACGACACAGGTGGCGTCGCCGCGTCGTCGTCACCTTTATCTTTGCAGCCGACACTGACAAATCACTTGTTTATGTAACGTTGCTATATTTGACATATTCATAATCATTACTTTTGCCGGTTCTTTGTGGCAGCTTTTAGATACTTTATTGGCAGAGCCACCCTTACATGTTACATGAACGTGTCACCACTGCATCAGCACCGAAAACAATAGGTTACTGTCGTAACCCCGGTTCTCTGAAACATCGAGTGGAGAGATCCACCTATGGGAAGGGCATCCGTACCTGACCTCTGCAGAAGCATCCAATTGCACCAAGTCTGGCTAGACAGACAGAAGCGCGCGGCCAGTGCCCGATGAGGCCACACCCCTCACCCACGGGCATATAACATCTGGGCGCGCTGCTATTCCTCAGTAAGTATATTCGCTTCTCGTGCGGCAAGCGGGGCAAAGCTGGTGGATCTCTCCACTCGATGTTTCAGAGAACCGGGGTTACGACAGTAACCTATTGTTCTCTTTCATCATCTCGTGTTCGAGATCCACCTATGGGAGAGACATGGACAGCTCCCCGATTGCCCAATACACTCACAGTGAGGTTCTGAAGCCAGAGAAGGACGGTCACCTCAGGGAGGCGGTGCCTGACACGTCCCTTAATCATGAGCCTGCGATGGTGAAACCACACCTAACTAATGTGGACAAGCAGGACATGAAATACGCATGGGACACATGCGAGATAGTAACCCCAACCCACCAAGACATAATCTATACCCGAAAGGGGAAGAAATGATAGGTGACAGGAATGAACATGGCCAGTCAGCCCATTCACTCTTAATGGTATATATATACCAACAGGGTTACAGCAGGGAGGGGCTAAGACGACCCGACCCCTAGAACCGAATGTGCTACCGAGGTACTGGTGACATCCAGCCGGTAGTAGCGCACGAAGGTATGAGGAGAAGCCCAACTGGCAGCGGAGCAGATGTCCTGCAGTGACACTCCCCTAAACAGAGCCCAAGAGGTGGCTAAACCTCTTGTGGAATGAGCTCTGATGCCCCTAGGGGGCTGCACTCTCTTTGCTTTGTAAGCCATGGTAATAGCATCCACAACCCAATGTGAGAGGCGTTGCTTCAAAATTGGACTCCCTAAGTGAGGGGGAGCCCATGAAACAAAGAGCTGGTCGCTCTTCCGGAAAGCATTCGTCCTGGTCATATATGCCTGTAAGGCACGGACTGGACACAGAGCGTTCAGCCTCTGATCCTCTAGAGAGGTAAAAAGGTGGAGGGTGAAAAGCGGACAGCTCCAACACCTCCGAAGTGAACGCAGGGAAGCACTTCGGCATGAAGGCCGGGTTAGGCTTAAGGAAGACCTTATCTCCACTAAGAGAGAACTAGAGCACGAAGGATGAACCGAGAGTGCATGTAGCTAACTGACACGTTTAGCAGATGCCAAGGCCAAAAGCAAAGCTGTCTTGAGAGACAGCAGCTTAAGGGATATACTATCCAAAGGCTCAAAAGGGTGTTGAGACAGAGCTTCCAGCACCATGGAGAGGTCCCACTCCAGGACAGTTCTCCTGACGACTGGCAAAGAGCGGCGTGCACCCTTCATAAATCTACGGATTAGAGGGTGCTGACCGACGGTCGAGCCCTCAAAACCCACATGACAGGCTGAAATAGCAGCCAAGTGGACCTTAATGGTGGAAAAGGACCTGCCTTTATCCATGAGGTCTTGAAGGAAACACAAAATATCAGGAACTGAACACTGATAAGATGTGAAACCGCGCCCATCGCACCACCCCTCGAACACTTGCCACTTACAGCCATATAAGGGCCGTGTAGAGACGGCCCTGGCATTCTGAATAGTGGTGACCACACGCGGCGAAAGCCCAAGTGCGTTCAGGTTCGTCCTCTCACGGGCCAGGCCCAGAGAGCCAACCTGTCCGGCTGGGGGTGGTAAATCTCACCGTTGGCTTGGGATAATAGATCCGTGCGAACGGGAAGGCACAATGGCTCGGCGTATAACAGAGGGATTATCTCCGCCAGCCACGGTGCTTTGGGCCATCTGGGTGCTATCAGAATGAGAGACAGGCCCTGCTCTCTCACCCTGGCCAATGTGGGAATATCAGGCACAGGGGAGGAAAAGCATACAGGAGCACTCTAGGCCATGGGTGGGCCAGTGCGTCTACCCCGAGGGGCGCGTCCACGTCCCTTAGAGAGAAGAACATAGGACAATGGCAGTTTCCGCGCGAGGCGAATAGATCTACGCTCGCCCGTCCAAATCTCATCCATAGCATTTCCACTATCTGCGGATGAAGACGCCAATCCCGTAGATTGGGTTTCCCCTTGACAGCAGATATGCGCCGACGTTCAGAATGCCTGGGACGTGAGTCGCGCGTAGCGACAAGAAAACCCGTCTGCTCCACACCAAGAGCTTGTGAGCTAGGAGGTGAAGTTTCGACGAGCGCAAGCTGTCCTGACGGTTGATATATGCCACAGCCGTGGTATTGTCGCACCGTACCAGCACGTGATGTCCCTGCAGGCGAGGCAGAAAATGATTCAGAGCTTTACAATTGGTAAAAAAGCTCTAAATAATTTATATGTGCTGAACGTAGTCTGTTTGGCCACAGACCGTTCACCGTTTTGCCCTCCTGGGTGGCACCCCAGCCTGTTAAGGATGCATGTCGTCACCACTTTCCGCATCGTAACCGCCCCGAGAGGGGTTCCCCGTGCGTAAAAGTCTGCGTTCTTCCAATGGCGCAGGGCTGCAGTGCACGCGCGCGCGTCACTGTAACCGAGCGGCAAAGGTCGCGAATCGGGCTGAAATGTAGCGACAAAACCCATTTCATGAACGCCCTCATCTTAAGGAGTCCTAATGGCACAACTTGGGTGGATGAAGCCATGAGACCCTGCATCCTGAGACATGTGCGATATTGCACTTTCGCCCCTTCTCTGAACTGTGACAGACAGCTCATAGAGAGCGAACGCGCTCTAGAGAGAGACGCGCTCGCATGGCAACCGAGTTCAACTCCAAACCCAGGAAATTGACATTCTGACTGGGCGTGAGATTGCTCTTGCCCACGTTCACTTGGAACCCGAGCGATGTGATGTGCGCGAGCACACGGCCGGTGTCCTGCAACACCTTCTCCTTCGATTCGGCTATGATGAGCCAATCGTCTATGTAAGTCAGGATTCTCAGACCTGTTATTCTCAGAGGCGTTAAGCCCGCCTCCGCGCACAGACAGAAAGACCGGGGACTCAAACTGAGTCCAAACAGAAGAACTGTGAATTCGCAACATATGCCCTGGTAGGCAAAACGAAGAAAATTCCTGTGCGGAGGATAAATGCTTATGTGAAAGAAAGCATCTTTCAGATCGACTGATGTGAACCAGTCGTTCTGTTTTATGGCACGGGCGAGAGCGCCCTGTGTCAGCATTCTGAAGGTGTATTTCCTCAAATGTTTGTTCAACACTCGAAGGTCCAAGATAGGGCGGAGAGAGCCGCCTTTCTTTGGAACCAGAAAATACCGGGAATAAAAACCCTGGTTCATCAGATTGGGGGGTACCACCTGAATCGCTCCCTTGTTTAAGAGAGATGAATTTTCCTCTTCCAGAATGTGAGAAGCTTTCTCTTCCGTGAGAAAAGAGAATGCCGTTGAAATGAGAGGGTTTTACTGCGAATTGCAATCTGTAACCCTGCATTATTGTACGCATAACCCACTCGGGAGCCGAAACGGTTCGCCAAGCCGCTTCGTGACTCGCGAGTGTCCCCGCTCGGGACAGAGCAGAGCTGTGTCTTGAGACCAACAGAATTATTTGTGATGCAATGGCGCCATCTCGTGGGCACACTAGAGGCGACATGCGGGGGTTCGGAGGGGTTTCCTCTCTCTGCAGTGAGAAGGTTCTCTCTGCGGAAAGAGGTTTTTCCTCCGAAACGAATTTGTTAGATTCGTTATTATTTGTGTTTGTGTGTTTTGTGTTGGGCAAACACTGCGTGAACTGGGCAAACATAGTGTGGTGTACACTGTGCTAAACTTTACCCACAAGGAGCCCCTTGAAATTGGGGGGAAAAACACACATCTCCTGAACACATGAACTGGGCAGTCTCAAGTGCAGGCAGAAAATACTACCCATTTTTAAGGATATATAAGAATAGTTTGTTTAAACGTGTATTTAGTTATGTGTTGGGAAACACAATGACCAAGCCTTCCACACACACAACGTGCACTAGAAACACATGGCTTGCAGCCGCAACTGAGCTGTGCGAGCCCAGCTGGTTGATTTGTGAGGCAATGGCGCCATCTTGAGGGTAGACTCGGGGCGAC